AATCTCTAAGAGATTTTGGTGTAATTGCTGAATTTAACGCTAATTTTCAGGGTTTTTTTCGCTCACGCTTTATTTAACCCTGGCTTTGTATATTCCCAGTTAAAAATATAACCAGAATCAGCTAAAGCAAAGATTTTGAACCCTGTGGGTATAGGCTTGCCAGAAATAGTGACTTTTTGTAAAGTTTAACCTTTAAACTTGATTATAACTTTAATAATAGTAAGATTTGTGCTGAGGAGCTAATAAAAAGCTGATTTTTGTCGAAGAATAGATATAATAGAGTCTAATTTATCTCACTAATTAGCACCTATAAAAGAGGGATTTTTTCCTTTATCTTTAAAATATAAAAAGAGATAATTTACTTAAAATGATTTTTAAAAATAAGAGAAGAAGCAAGAATTCCATGTGGACTCTATAGATATTGATGAATAGGCTGTTTATAAAGTGCTAGAAGTAATAAACAGCCAAAACAGTAATATAGCTTAAGAATAGAAAGAGATTTCCAAGGATTTTTTGTAGAATTATAACGAAATACATAAGAATTTGTCTCTTTAACAATAAGAGACAAAGCTTCCTAGCTAAAGAATAGCGGAAATAGGGCCAGAGGATGCTAATGTTAATTGTGTTAATTAAATAGATAGAGGCAAGGTCTAGTATTAATTTGAACTAATTTTGAGTTGATTAAGTAGAGTAATAAAAGAGTAAAGGTGATATAAAGTAGTAGAATTAATTAGTATAAGATGCTAAGTTTTAATAAAAATAAGAAATAGAAAAGTTTCAAGATATTATTTCTCTTATAACATACTAACTAATTAGGCTAAAAATCTTAATTTAAGCTTTTCTAAAAGTCTATAAATAGAAGAATATAATATATTATATTTTAGAATTTATATCTGTAATAGTAATAAAGTTAATCTTAAAAATAATTTTAAAAACTAATATTATTTTATCTTTTCTTATTTTTCCTTTATTAATAGTTGTTGTATTAGCTTAAAAACCATATATTTAAATAGATAATTTTAAGGGCTATCGAATAATGATATTTATAGACTTATAACTCTCTTAAATAATTTGATGTAACTAATTAAAGGTTTACTCTTCTAATTTACTTTTAGTGTTCTTAACGCTAAGGCTGCAGCTGGATCTTAACGAATTTTGATGTTCTTAACGCTAAGGCTGCAGCACTCTTCCATAATTTTGATGTTCCTAATGCTAAGGCTGCAGAATAATCTCACCGCTAAACACAGGTACTACTTAACGTTATACTCTACAAGGAAGGATACTTACAACAGAGATTTAATCGGACTTACAAGAGATAATATAGATATAAAGACTCTAAAAAATAAAGAGAGCTATATTTTTAATAAATTTTAGAATAAGATTATTAAAGCTTAATAAGTTAAGATAAGTCTTAGCTGAAAATAAAGTCTAAAGAGCTAAAATAATAAAAAAATTATATAAATAAATTACAAAATGTCTTTAACTTCTAAATAGGAACTAATATTATAAGTTAATTATAAAGACTATCCCCTGTGTCACTGAATAGGCCTCCTTCCTTATTAGAACTAGTATAACTTATTTATAAAAGGCTAATTATTATAGCTATAAAACTATAATTATTAGCCTTTTATAAATAAATTGTATTAGTTCTAAAAAGGAAGGAGGCCTATTTAGTAATACAAGGGATAAAACTATCTAAGAAATAAGAGTGCTTATATAAATTAAAAGATTAGTGCTTATAAATAATTAGATATAATTATTTTTAAGCATTACTTATTAGTTTTTTTTTATGAATATCTTACTTAGAGTTATCTTTATATAGATGTGTCTTTTCGTTAAATCCTTTAGGCTTAAGTAGTTTTAAAGTTTCTTTATATAGAGTTTATATAGTTAATAAGGCTTATTAGTACTTAATATATTTATGTATTATAATAGAAATAAGATTTAAATATTAATATAAGATTAAATAAGTCTTATTTAAAGAGTAAAGTTAATTAGAAAAAATCTCTTATAGATATTAAAGCTATAATTATTTAAGAAAGAAATTTTGTTTTAATCTACTAGGAATAAAGCATTCTAAAAAACTTTTTATATATATTTTAAATACAAAATACGTGAATTTAAAGGATTTTTAATAGAATTCAATTATTTTTTAGCACTTTTAACAAATAACTTACTAGTAGTATATTTATATAAGACAATTAAAGTACTAACACTTAATTCTAGCACTAATTAAGCTGAAATTCGTGAAAAAATTAATATTTTAAGTGATTTTAAAAAGTTTTTAATAAGCTAATTAATAATGTTATAAAGCTAAAAACAATATTATCTAATACCCCTTAAAATTCTCTAAAAGAATAAACATTATTTAATTTTATAATACTAATATTTAGTTTAAAAGAATTTAAAAATTAAATAAAATTAGTATTTAATAATTCTTTAGATTAGTATTAATTCTATATTATATTTTTAATTCTAGAAATAATTTCAGAGAATATTTCTTGATTTTCTCTTCTAGAATCCTATTTATATGCCTGATTCTAGTAGTTTCCCTCTTTACAAACGTGTTTTTCGCATTCCTTACAGTACTAAAAGGTCTGTTTTCCTCTTAAACTCCAAGGAAGTTCGTGAGTGGTGCCAGCTGTATCGGTTGCTACGTCTGAGGCAGTTACACGAAGCTTCTGATCCGCGGGACCTCATCTTCTCGCTACTTTCGCTGTCTCGGACGGACAACGGCGAAAATTTCAAGCCTAACTATAAGTTGTCGGTACTGATGCCAAGGCTACAGAAATAATCTTAACCCTAAATATGAGTACCTTTTAACACTAAACTTAACAGAAAAGAAGGCTATTAATAAGAGTTAATTAGGATTATAAAGAATAAAAAAAGTTTAGCTATCTAAAATATATATATAGTAAAGTTATAAATACTTAATATTAGACATTATTATTATTAATAAATTAGAAATTAATTAAAAACTAGTTTATTTTGTAATAGAATAATCATTAAAGCTATAATATAAAAGTTATTTAGATTTTTTAATATATATTTAATAATCTCTTTATTAGAGACTAATATATTATATATAGTCTAGAATAGATATAAATAAATATTATAAAAAGATAATTTATATTTATTAAAAATAATATTATAAACAAATTTATTAATTTTATTTATAAAGCTTTTAATAATAAGGTATAAGCATAAATTCATTGTAATCTTAATTAATATTATATAAATTATTAAGCACAACGATTTCGCGAATATAATAGACATACATATACAGACAGTTAACTTTTTACAGGAATTTATCTAAGCATAAGAAGAAATCTATAGAGGCCTAGAAGAGGTAGTCCTGTGACACAAAAAGTACGATTATTCTTTGTCAAGCAGTAGGAAGAAACGGCTCTGTTCTCTCTAAGAAACTGCGCAGGGCGCAGAAATAAGTACAGATTTGCCGTGAGGCGCAGCGAAATTAGCAGCAAAATTGCGGCTGAAATTGACCAATCAAAAGCAAGAAAAACGCAGGGATAACGCGCATGAAATGCGGCCTCTCAGGAGGTCAACATTCTTTTATCCTATCCTCTATTTCTGCTCTTACGGGTAATAAAGCTAGGACACGCAGCGGATTCGTGGAGGAGATAGATCTCAGGGGCAGGTGTTCGCTGAGGCTTGCTGGTGAGAGTTCCGGCGCGTCGCGATCCTCTACAAGTTCATATGCTGGTGGTGTAGAAAGGTTGTCTGGCATCATGCCAAGGTTCGGACTCGAATGGGGTTGTGGGAAATGAAAATCCGTTGGTTTAAGGTTAAAGTCCTTGCACATTCTGGTTGTCTTGAGATGTAAGAAGGTCGCATTTGAAGACTAAGAGGTGTCTAAAATTGTTGATGATTGAGGATATAATGGATTGATCTCGCATATTGAGACCAGCAGCTGACAAGAGGCCTTCTATATCTCCATATATTATGTGCTTCATTAAGCGGAAACAAGCATCTCCAGTTCTAGTTTAACGACTAAAAAGATACTGCCGCAACGTAGTCACAGATCCTAGCAATTACATCCGGCCGGCCATTTAGATGCTGGTCTTTTTACGGGGCTGAGCCATGAATGCCCGTCAGTCTTTTTATTGATCAATAATATACCGCAAGTTTAGAGAGCGATCGGGCAGCCCCTTAAGGTATCTTCGGTCAAGTTTAGGTAATAAAGGGGCGGTTCTATCTGCTTTCCTAATCAATTTTTCGGGCTACACAAGCTTTAGTCAGGGATGCTCTATCTCATTGCATGGGCGGGGCTGCCGGTACATTGACAGCTCTCCATTCTGTCTTTGTCTCCATTAATAGAGTCACCGAACCTTCATATCCCTTTTCGCGATACCTTCATCCCGCGCCTCCTACTTTCTTTGCTCTAAAATGAGGGCTATATCTGACCTAATTAAGGCCTAGGATGTCATTCAACGGCCAGTTTGCATGAATTAAGTGCCATATCTGATGACGATTTATTTAGGGGTCAGTACATGTGGCCTTCATCCACCAATAAGGCTTGATCTTATCGTCTAATACTATTGACGTATGCTAAATGTTGGAAGTCACTGGTATCTCACTCAGCGTCCCCTTGTAGAGACCAATAGAAAGCGCATAAGAGGCAATACCTCTACAGCTTCTATTTCGGGTCCAGGCTCAGACTATCCAGGATCTTGACTTACGAGAAGGTTTATGCAAGGCAGAAACGAACAGCATTTGGACCTGCCTGACAGCTTTGGCAGCTTACATATTTCCTGGAAATACTCCATCCGTCATAATGATCAAGATCATTAATCTTCTATTTTGAGAAGTCCTCTGTCTGGTGGACCTTCCTTTCTGGGTTTATGTCACGTGGGAAGTCAGGTGTCCTCTCGGTTAAGTGGGCGTGGTAATAGGCTACATTTGATGTATTCATTTTTAAAATCAAATGCCAAAATCTCGCCTCAATTAAGTAGGTTTAAGCGTCACTTTTTACATCTGCAATGTTAAATGTCAATCCTCGCTTCGGAAGGGCTTTCCGTCCTCTTTACAAAACGTCAGTACATGCCTGGCATTTACAATTTGCTGTCAGCCTTGCTCTATGCCGATACTCCAGTAACTCAGGGGATCCATATTCGAGCCGAGAGGGAGATCTCTCTTCGTACAAAGCGAGACCCAGTATCTTCACGGAATGGAACAAAGTTGGGCAATGGTCAGTGGCGCTTATCACTTCGAGGGGTGTTGAAGACATGGGAATGCAGTTCTTGCAACTGGCCCCTAAGAAAAAGGAGTCCGCCGCGGAAGCGCCACCCAACGCGCTAGACGTGGGCTTTGGTGAACAAGCAAGACTAGAAAGGCTCGAATATGCGGATCTTGCACCTGGGGAGACCATCAGACTCTTGACTCTCCATCCCGGAGAATATGGCCACCCACTGCACATGTCTCTCTCTCATCATAATATATCCAATTCCCGTGACGTTCCATCCTTCTCGGCGCTCTCGTACGTCTGGGGAGATCCGAAACAGCCTCGACCGGCTTTCTGTGATGGGAGAACCATTGGCATCACCAGGAACCTTTTTGGCTGCCTACAGCGTCTGAGACGCCCTGATGCTGCCAGATTACTCTGGATCGACGCCATCTGCATAAATCAGCGGGACCTCGAGGAGCGCGCAGCACAGGTTGGCATCATGGGCGAAATCTATGCCAAGGCGGATAAAGTTTTGATCTGGCTCGGAGAAGGGAACGAACATACCCGCGAGGGGGTCTACGCCCTTGAATCCATGGCTAAGGCGTGGAGCCCCCCGCCCGACCAGCCTATTTCTTTCTCTACAGTACTTAAATTTGCGCGCTCTAGCCGAATCCGCACCCTTGACTACTGGGCTCTAGGGAGACAGCAAAAGATCAGGTCCATCACCAACAGCGCATGGTTTACCAGAGCCTGGACATTCCAGGAGGTCGGCCTGTCGTCAGATGCAGAAGTTTGGATTGGTGATCACAACTTGCCGTGGAAAACGCTAGTCTATGCGTGGTTGCTCTCACTACACATGAACTTCGAGCGGACGCTATTCCTGAATGGCTACGGCAGGACGGTCGATACGGGTAGGACATGTATGCACGCAATGTTTGCGTACTGGTACCTGCAAAACCACGGAAACTCCAAGGAAGTTCGTGAGTGGTGCCAGCTGTATCGGTTGCTACGTCTGAGGCAGTTACACGAAGCTTCTGATCCGCGGGACCTCATCTTCTCGCTACTTTCGCTGTCTCGGACGGACAACGGCGAAAATTTCAAGCCTAACTATAAGTTGTCGGTAGAGGACGTCTTCACACAGGCTGCTGCCCAGACTATCAGGGAAAGCCGAGACATTTCGCTTCTCTCCGAGCGTGAAAGAAGGGGCGCAGATCTAGAACTCCCCTCCTGGGTTCCGGACTGGCGCTCCCCGCCAATCATAAATCCTCTCAACTCTTTGTTGCCCAGCGCCTGGAGGGAATACCGGGTGGGCCAAGGACGACCCCAAGATGAGCGCCTTGGAAGCATTGAGATATCGGACGGCAAGACATTGCGGCTGGCGGCAACCCACATCGACAGTGTCAGGGTATCTCACTCTGTCAGCCTCGAAGTACTCAAATTACCGGCTGAAATGAGAAGCCTCGATTGGAGCGAAACCACCAAGGTCCTGTGGTACTACATCCGGACAAGACTAGGCTGCGAATACGATTCCAGCTACGCACCAACTAGGGAACCTATGATAATTGCTCTCTTGAGGACCCTTTCGGGGGACAATTTCCCCACGTCCCCTGCGCTTGAACCGGATGAAGCCGCCCACCGGTTTCCGCTGCACTACAGCTTCATGAGGAACCCGCAATGGCTGACGCTCCGGGGACACTTGCTCCGCAAGCTCCGGGTATGGGACTACGAAGTCCCGCAGACGCACGGCATGAAACTGGGCGGTGCACCAGAATCCATAAAACACGGCCTCCGTGCCGCCCAGGGCCCGGAGGCCTTACTGCCCTACCTCCCATCCCTGCTCCGGAAATGGATCACGCAGTCTGGTACATCCATCGGAAAGTGCCCCTACATCGGTCCCATCCCCCGCGGAAACTCAGCCATTAACCAGGACGTTACGAACAGCGTCTACGTCAAGATGATACGAACCAGAATGAGGCGCCACTGGTTCAGTTACGTGCCCTTTCTGCCGTCCTGGGCGCAACAGAAGGCCAGGGTGCTGTACAAGGCGGTTGGATACGTCCGACTAGATTTGCACCGGTCGGAGCTGCTGCTGGAGCTCGTGGCGAACATTGACAAGACGATTCGCGGGAGGCGACTGCTGGTCACAGAGAAGGGCTACGTGGGACTTGGCAGCTTGGATGTGCAAGCAGGAGACCAGATCTCACTTCTGGGCAACAGCCCTGTGCCTTATTTAGTTCGAAAGTGTGGTGAGGAGCCAGTGACTTATCGGCTTGTTGGTGAGTGTTATGTCCATGGAATTATGGATGGTGAGTTATGGGGTACTAATTCTGAGAAAGGTAAAGATAAGGAGGTTTCTGACGAGGGGGGGTTAAAGGTCGTTGAGGTTAGCTTAATATAACTTACTGGTATCGCCTGGGCTACGGTATATGCTGACCAGACGTAGAGAGTGCCTTGGTTAACAGCTAACGCGACCAAGTCATCGAATCAGATTGTGTTCAAGACCTTACTGAAGCAAGCTCTGTATAACCAGAGTCATCATACAATTCAATATCATATCTGAAGGCGCCCCCAACCAGTATGTCCGATGCAATGACGACGCGTGCTGGCTGCAATGGACGTGCTGGAGCGAAGCGAACCCAAAAAGGGAGGTGTACAGTTTCCCATACTCTTTCATCAGCGAGAGTGGCGATAAATGACAGTGTAGGCAGTATGGAAGTGGAAGTACAGGAGCTACAGAAGACCTTGACTTCTGGAACATTCCTGGTCGACCAAGAGCAAATATTTCCTGGCATGGAAAATTGCCTCAACACCCAGCTATCGAAAGTCTAATTGGGTATAACTCAACCAAAACTGAGCGACCTCGACAGCCCTCTCTGGTTGGCCCCCATGCCGCTTTATGTAAGCCAGCTCAGGGCCTGGCTCAACTTCTGCTCAGTCTCGCTCTGGCTGCACCGCCACGGCTCAGGCAGCTTCCTGATGAGCTCAGTCACGGCCCCATTTTCTACCTTCTGTCCCTTGCCCAACCGATATGGACCTAGAAAGCGTCTCCTTGAGGTTATGGGCAACTTTACTCGAGCAGCATCCTCGGATGAGAGATTACACCTGACTTTGGGAATACAGAGGTACCCAGAACTGGGATCCCTGGAAGGGCCGCAAATCAGCACTTTTCGATGGGTCTGTTAGAGAAAGCAATGGTGGGTCTATTCGAATTCCGAGGAGGCAAACTCCCCTGAGCCCGTATGTCGGGCGGGCACGCTTAGTCTCAATATGTCTGTGATGATCGCCAAGTCCGGAGATCACGTGGATTCCGCTGAGCTTGGCACTACCGTGGAAGAGTCTTGGCATGGATGGATTTCATTGAGCTTGGCACTATCATGATGATTCAGTTGTGTTCTATTTCATTGAGCTGACAGTGCCGGGCAGTTGTGTTTCATTATGAGGGCAGTACTTATATCTGCTCTCTTTCTTACTGTACATAGATTTCTCTTCTCTTTCTTCTCCACGCTTAGTTCATCAAACTACCTTGAACTGCCTTGCGCTCTATTGCTCTTGCGTGCTCACGATCCTAACACGAACACGGCCGGGACTGTCATAGCCATAGCAAAGCTAAGTTACTTTGTACTATTTTCGAAGGCAGATCTTTAGTCGGCAAAGATCAGTCGATGATGCTATCGCAAATGGTTGTTTGCACTGTGAAGCTTTATGTTCACGCCCCCGGCCGCTTTATCTACCAATTTCCAATCACAGGGCAGTCGCCCTTTCGGCAAGGCTGATCCATCAATTGAGTCGAACTTTTGCAGGAGCCTGACTGTGACATAGGCAATCTCAGCAAGGGCGAATCGTTGTCCGATACATATTCGAGGGCCAGCGTTGAATGGGAGGTAGTTGAATCCAAATTTGCGCCCCTCCCATCGTTCTGGATTGAAGCGTTCAGCATCAGGGCCTCAAAGTTCTGGGTCTGAGTGCATTGTCCAAAGTTACAGGGAAGAGATGTCAGCACTGAGAAGCCAGAGGCACAATAGTGATGACAAGACGCAAAGATGTACCTGCCAAGCAACAAGGTGACCTTTAGGTATAAATACTGGCGAAATCCCATCGGAGCCACCACCCACGGGCAGTGTTGTGTCTCTAACGGCCTCACGGGAGTGGACCGGAACCGAAGGGTAGACTCGGAGAACTTCGTTCAAGAACCATTGAAGGTATGAACAGTTCTTGAGCCTGCTGAGCGTGATCTGCTTAGGTCGATCGAAGGATCCAAAGTCGTCTATGATGATGTTGCGAAGCTTCTTGAAAATATGAGGATATTGTGCCAATGAGGCCAAAAGTAAGCCAAGCGTTCCCGAGATGGTGTCGCTGCCTGCCAGAAGGATGTTCAACAGCTGGGAGCGGAGCTCCTGCGGATCCTTCACATCAGCGACAATAGCATCAAGAACGACGTACTTTCCCGTCCCTGGCTTTTTATCCGAGCCACCGCCCCTCAAATGGCGCTGGACATACATATCAACGAAGTTATGAACGCTTTACACTGTTCCTTGAATTTGCGATCGTGCATTAGCCAGAACAGGTCACCGTATATCATAGATCTCGCCGTTGTCTTCTCTGCTCCGAAGAAGGCCTCTACGAACTGCATCATCTCCTTCTTAGAGAACAAAGTACTCGTATCTGTACTATCACCTTTCTGGTTGTGTACGCTTTCGCCAAAGAGAAACTCTGTGGCAGTATCCATTGTAAAACACTCCAACAACGGTTGCATATCGAAAGTCGGGGTCCAGTCACCAGACTCCACGGCACCTGGGAGGGCATCAAAGAGATCTTTGACATGTGTCTCGAAGAGCCCCAGATCAGCTATCTGTTCACGCATGAATTGGGGTCTTAGAAGAGCTCGAGAGTGTTCCCATTTAGGTCCGTTCGCTGAGAACTGTTGGAATTAGCTCTGTATATGTTTTAAGTCGCAAAACGTACAATACCGAGACCCAGAAGCGCCTCGAACGCTCCCACTCTGGCCGCTGGCTGCTGAAAATCTTGAAACTGGGTCGCTAGCACAGCCTGCAGATTCTTCGGGTCGAAGGTGTAGAACCACGTCTCTCCCGGTGGATATTTTATTCGAAATGTTTTGCAGTCTCGTCCCATCTTTGCGCTCATTTCTTTCTTGCGATCTGAGAAGGCATAAGATAAACGGTTTGTGACGAACTGTGCTGACTAATCGACGGATCAGTGTGGAAATAGCAAGTTGTTCTATCTAATTCAGTGCGAGGAGCGCGCATTTATACGTACAAAGTTGCTATATCAAGCGAAATAGCGCGAAACGCAGATACCAAAAATACATGCGTGGCTGATGCAAAACGCGTATCAAATCTGTAACAAAACGCTGGTGACACACGTAGCAAAATAGCGCAAACTGTATTTTTGAGTTCAACACACCCCCCCAGGGTCAAAGCGTGCCGGATTGAGCCTGGTATGAAGCTCACGATGCTGCTTATGTATCGCCTAAATAGTGATAGCGCAGAGTTTCGATATTCGGCCCTGTTTCTGTCTGCTGCGGCGCCTGCGCCTGCTGTTGCTCTGCCGCCAAACGAGTCGATATATCGACTAGATTGAGCTGTTCGACGAACGCTGCGTGCTTCTGCGCAGGGAGTGGCTTTGTGAGACCGTCGGCAGGCATTTCTGCGGTTGGTATCCACTCTAGGTCGATTTTGCCGCTCTGTATCTCCTGGCGCAGCCAGTGGCGGTGGATATCGACGTGCCGCAGCTTCGAATCGAGTTTAACAGCATTCTTCGTCAAGATACGTATAGTTTGCACGTTATCGCAGTGGATCTTGACGTGCTGATTCGTAACGAAGCGAATAGAGTCGAAGAATCTCCGCCACCAAATTACCTCTCTACCGGCTGTGGATAGAGATAACAGCTCCGCCTCAGTGCTAGAAGTAGTGACCGTTTTCTGCTTGCTAGCGCGCCAATCTATAGCTCCTCCGTATAGCTGGAATAGGTATCTGTCAGAGCTGTGCTGAGTAGCAGGATCATCTGCGAATGCTGCGTCGCTAGCACAGTTGAATACCTGCGAGCTATTTCTGCCTGAATATTCGATTGCCAGCGTGCGCGTGCCACAGAGATAGCGAATAACTCGATTTGCTGCGGCTATGTGAGCCGCGCTGGGATTCTTCAAAACTTGCGCTAATTTCGATACTGCGTGCGCTATATCTGGGCGAGATATTACTGCGGCGAAATTTAGAGATCTAATTCGCTGCTGATAGGCCAGAATTTGCTGTGCGGCCGCTTTTTCGTCGCTTAATTCGGCTATTAGGGCATCGTCAGTCGGCAATGGCGTCTTTGGATGCTTGCTGTCAGCGTTAACGTTGAATTTGGCGGCTACTTTCGAGATATAGGAGTCCTGGCAAAGCCATAGCTTGCGCGTGGCGCGCTCTCTATCGACTCGAATCCCTAGAAACCACTTTAGCTCTCCAAGAGATCTCATTTCGAAGCGTTGGAGGAGGCGGCGTTCGAACTCCTTGAATTTCTGCTTATACTTTGGTTTGTAAAGAATAGCGATATCGTCAACGTAGAAGAACAGAAGGAGGCAGTCGCTGGCGAACAAGCAGTTGACGCCAGGGATCGAATGAAGCCCTAAATCCTCAAGAGCAGCAGTAAAATCTCTATACCAAAGGAGAGGAGATTGTTTTAGCCGTACAATGCGCGTAGAAGCAACCAGCTCTTGTTTGAGCGCTCGTAACCCTCAGGGGGTACGCAGAATATCTGCTCGTCGAGTTTGCTGTTGACGAACGCGTTAACAGCGTCATATTGGCGAATTTCGAGGTCAAACGCCGCGGCTATGGCCATTAGCGCTCTAAAAGTGCGTGCTGCGAGCGTTGCAGCGTACGTATCTTGCTCAGTAGATTGCAAGTCGCCTCGTACGCATAACCTAGCTTTGAATTTCGTGAGATAGCCGTCAGTATCAAATTTGTACTTAAATACCCACAGCAGTGGCAGGGGCGTAGCTGTTATAGCCTCATTTTCGACCCATTTGTACGTATCTCTGTTCGCCAGCTCTTGAATTTCTCTATCCGCAGCTTCCTTGAATTCTGCCGCGAATTTGTGCTTAGTCAGCTGGCGCCACGTGCGCGGCTCCGCAGGCAGCGTATCCCTATGTAGGGCCTCTATTTTTGCTCCTATAGTCTTTTCGCGCCCTAGAGCGAATGCTGAGTGGAATGGAGTGAGTTCTGTTGTTTGTGTGAGCGCTGTGGCGTAATTCTGGCGCCGCGTGCTCATTCGAGAGCGTTTTGTGCCTTCTGGCAGGATATTTTGAGTGCTGAAATCGGATTGATTTTCAGAAGGAGGCGCTGCCGCTGGCGTTGCCGCAGGCGCGTTATTCAGCGTAGAGATAGGCTGCGTAATCTGTGCGTTTTGCGTAGGAGGATCAGGAGTAGATTCTGGCGTTAGAAGAGCGTTAGAAGGCGTTACTTTGGCGCTGTTAGCCTGTGTAGGAGGCGAAGAGACGACTATCTCGTCCTCAATATCCTCCTCTTCGTTGGCGAGCGAATTTGGCTGTGTATACGCTAAATGCGGCGTATCAAGAATTTCTATGACCTGATCAGTAGTTTCGCGCAGAATTTGCCCTATATCTAGTTCTGCTGGGTTGTAGAATTGCTGCTCATCGAACGTAACATCCCTTGTTCGAACAACCTTCTCTAAACTCGGTATCCAAATTCGATAGATATTCGTCGAATCGTAGCCTACCAAGTATCCGATATGCGCTCTCGGCAGCATCTTCTGTTTGCGTGGTATATCCTTATTTAGAGGATAGGCCTTGCAGCCATACGCGTGTAGATGCGCTAGATTCGGTTTCTGCTTGAGAAGCGCCTCATACGGCGTTTTCCACCCCCTAGAGCGCTTGGGCGTTCGATTATTGAGATATCCTGTTGCTCTGACGATTTCTGGCCACAAATTAGCCGGTAGATTAGCAGCAATACGCAAACAGCGCGCTTTTCTAATTATCACCCCCCCAGAGCGTTCGGCTGCGCCATTTTGCTCAGGGGTATCAGGAGCAGAGCGCTCTGTAGTTATGCCGTATTTCTGCGTTGTTTCTGCGTACTTGTTTCCAAGCGTACGCTCTCCATCCGTGC